TTACTATATGGGGGATGAATTACTATATGGGGGATGAATTACTATGGGGGATGAATTACTATATGGGGGATGAATTACTATAGGGGGGATGAATTACTATATGGGGGATGAATTACTATAGGGGGAATTAATTACTATGGGGGGGAATTACTATATGGGGAATGAATTACTATGGGGGATGAATTACTATGGGGGGTGAATTACTATATGGGGGATGAATTACTATGGGGGATGAATTACTATATGGGGGATGAATTACTATGGGGGATGAATTACTATATGGGGGATGAATTACTATGGGGGATGAATTACTATATGGGGGATGAATTTACTATGGGGGATGAATTACTATATGGGGATGAATTACTATGGGGGATGAATTACTATATGGGGGATAAATTACTATGGGGGATGAATTACTATATGGGGGATGAATTACTATAGGGGGATGAATTACTATATGGGGGATGAATTACTATATGGGGGATGAATTACTATGGGGGATGAATTACTATATGGGGGATAAATTACTATGGGGGATGAATTACTATATGGGGGATGAATTACTATGGGGGATGAATTACTATATGGGGGATGAATTACTATGGGGGATGAATTACTATGGGGGATGAATTACTATATGGGGGATGAATTACTATATGGGGGATGAATTACTATGGGGGATGAATTACTATATGGGGGATAAATTACTATATGGGGGATGAATTACTATATGGGGGATTAATTACTATGGGGGATGAATTACTATGGGGGATGAATTACTATATGGGGGATGAATTACTATGGGGGATGAATTACTATATGGGGGATGAATTACTATGGGGGATGAATTACTATATGGGGGATGAATTACTATGGGGGATGAATTACTATATGGGGGATGAATTACTATATGGGGGATGAATTACTATGGGGGATGAATTACTATATGGGGGATGAATTACTATATGGGGGATGAATTACTATATGGGGGATAAATTACTATATGGGGGATGAATTACTATATGGGGGATGAATTACTATGGGGGATGAATTACTATGGGGGATGAATTACTATATGGGGGATGAATTACTATGAGGGATGAATTACTATATGGGGGATGAATTACTATGGGGGATGAATTACTATATGGGGGATGAATTACTATGGGGGATGAATTACTATGGGGGATGAATTACTATATGGGGGATGAATTACTATGGGGGATGAATTACTATATGGGGGATGTATTTTCAGTTTTAAAAATGTGGCTCTCAAAATAAATTTCAATCGTGGTTTTGGCGAGATTTGGCTCAGTTGAAAAAAAAGGTTGCCCACCACTGCACTAGATCAATGCTTTTTTTTTATCTAATGCTTTACATTGTAGAGGAGAGATGTGGGGTCTTATTGACCTCATATCTCTCCATAAAGGGGACCTGTCACTGATTATTTCTATCACAGGGGATGCATGCATGCATTTCTTGTGATAAGAATAAAAGTGATTAAAACATTTTTTAAAGGGACAGTGCAAAAAAAAAAAATTAAATATTGAAAAAAAATTTTTTTTTTAAAGTGCCCCTGTCCCCCCGTGCTTGCATGTAGTGGTGAACACTTACGTAGGCCATGCCCACATATGTAAACGGTGTTCAAACCACACATGTGAGGTATCGCCACGAACGTTGGAGCAAGAGCATTCATTCTCACACTAGACCTCCTCTGTAACTTTACACTGCTAACCTGTAGAAATTTTTAAAGCATCACCTATGAAGATTTTTAAGTATCGCAGTTTCACACCATTCCACGAGCGTGCGCAATTTTAAAGCATGACATGTTGGGTATCTATTTACTCGCCATAACATCATCTTTCATATTTTACAAAGAAAATTGGGGTATATATTGTTTGTTTGTTTTTTTAATCAGTGTAATTTTTCCAAAAAATATACATTCATTTTTAAAAACTGCACATTTCGGTTTCGGTTTTCAGGCAAGTGCATTTTGAATTTTCGTTTTTGGCACCAGAATTTTCATTTCGGTGCACCACTAGTTATTATTTGGACAAGAAATATGTGCAGGAGGTAAGTCTAATGTGTGCCTTGTGCTTTCCTCCATGCTGTCCTTTCCAAGATGCAGCTCTCCAAAACCCCTGATGCTAGTGCAGCCGTCTTGCTGATACTAGTCCCCTCCATTGTTTGAATTTGTCATTGCAATAGAATTTATTTGGGAAGCCATTGTGGTGGTTAATTCCATTACAATATTGGTGCGGGAGCAGCTGAGTAATGGTATTGCTGTGATGCCATAAGGGTTTTCAAAGAGCCATATCTTGGAAAGGACAGCATTGAGATGATTGAAATGAGCAGATTGGCAGTGTCTGTCGGTGTGTGTGTCAGTATGCAGAGTGCGATTTTTTTGTGAAAAGGTGGGGAAAGGTTCACTTTAAAGTATATGCCTGGCAAAATTAAAAAAATTTAAAAATATGCAGTACACCTCTGCATTGGATGCACACTCCCACATCTATTATCCATATATTTACTACAAAATATATATTAATACTACCAGAAGCATGCATTGATTTCTTTATCTGCAAAAAATGCTGCTGCGTTGACTATCCAGAGCAGGGGTCTCCAAACTGCGGCCTGAGGGCCGGATGTGGCCCTTTGCTAGTTTTTATCCAGCCCTTGGGGCACTATTCCTCCCAATAATATGAAGCAGTATTCCTCCCACTAACACCAACTATAAGGCACTATTCCTTCCACTTTTAACACTTATGTGGTACTATTCCTCCCATTAATACCAATGATGGGGCACTACTCTTCCTCCTACTGACCACCATCCCTGAGGCCATGTTTATTTTCACTGATGCTGGGCTCTAAACATTTTCTACCCCCACTGGGCATACTCCGGCCCTCTTAAAGTCTGAAGGGCCATAAACTGGTCCTTTGTTTGAAAAGTTTGGAGACCCCTGATCAAGAGCCTGCTCACACACTGTTTGTAGGGTAAAGCCAGCCATAAATGAATCAAATCTCAGCCAGTTCAGCAGGGACTGGTCTAGAATTGATCCATTGAGGGGCAGGCTGCTTGTACTGAAGTCGATCCATCGATCCTGTCGGATTATTTTCATGCAATCACTCAGCTGCCAGCAGTGATCTTTGTGTTCTACCAGAATGGAAAATTCTCCATTGGCAGAACACAATAGCACTGCGGGAGGGATTCCCCCCCATCAACAATGACTGCGTTTATGGGGAAGGCGAGCAATTTTCTTTTCTTCCACCTGGTGGAAGGAAAGAAAATTGCATACTCTAAGGCCTCTTAAATTCTCTTGGTGGATGTAGTTCTGGAGGACATGCCTATCGCAATAGAAACTCCTGTACTGCTCCCTGCTGATCCCTCCTCTCCAGCAGCTGACCCTGTGAGAATTTTACAAGACAGGGAGTAATAAAAACAGTTTTTACACTAAATAACCAGGTAAAAGAAAACATGAATGCTGGAACATGCTGTAGCGCAGTGGTCAACGAACTGTGGCCCTGGGGCTGGATGCGGCTCTTTTTCTTGTCTTTATCCAGCTCTTGGGGCAATATCCCTCCCACTGGCACCTACAATGGGGCATACATTTTGCCACTAACACCAACAATGGGGCACTGCTCCTTCTACTGACACCAAGGATGGAGCACTATTCCTCCCACTAACACCAAAAACACAGCTGATACCAAAGATGGTAAATTGTTTACTCTTATTGATGCCAGGACATTTCTCCAAGTAGCCACAGTCTGGCCCCCCAAAAGCCTGAAGGACAGTAAAAATTGGCCCTTTGTTTAAAATATTTGGAGACCCCTGCTGTAGAGGGAGGTTTGGGGTAAATTTAAATCATGGCTAACAATTTCTATAAGAAACCAATCATGGAGAGTAGAGGAAGTTTATCAGAATGGTAATGTATACTTGATCTGTGTTGACATACTCTTGTCTCCAGGACCCACTAACAGTGCAGGTTTATATTCTTGCCAGGTAGTGCCCCTGGCTGCTGTATTATTTAGTAACTTGTGTTAAAGAACACCACTAAAAACATGGGTCCTTTGTCACATTGTAGAAAATCCCAGCTTTCTGGATTTGCATTCTTTTTTTCTGTCTTGAACTATTATCCAAAATGCTGTAAATACAACAACGAATTATGACTTGTATAAAAGAATCCCTATAATGGCTTAGCAATACACTGTGGTGTATTGCAGCACATCTCTAGTTTAGCAATGTTAACATATTGCTGTGACCAAGGGTAGGTGCAATGGTGATTGCTTGGTTTTCTTAATATAAAGGATTTATGTATTATTACCGATTTATTGTAGTTAAATCAGGCTCCATTCATGCTTGTACGACTCCAAAGTTGCGTGACTTTGGTGCTTTTTTGATGCAACTTTGGATGGGAGTAACTTGTCCCTCTGCAAAGTGAGATCCACTGTTGCATGTAAAACATTCAGGTAGGACTTTCATGCAACTTTTTGAGGGTTAATATTGAAGTCTATGGCCTTCAAGTTGGATGAAAGTCACACCAAACTAGTGCATGAATTGCTTTGAAGTCCCTGCAACGTTAAGTCGCATGTATATGAATGGTTATCATTGGAAAACATTGGGTACAGCTTAACATGCGACTTTGATGTCCAAAGTCGCATGACAATTTGCACAAGTGTGAATGGAATCTCAGTATTTACTTGTTCTCTCTGGTTCCATGCACATTTGAAGTTGTGTAGTTTAATATTGCACTTGCAGTATGCATTGAAACCTTTTGTAACAGGCCTATCTACTCTTCTGTTTTAGAGGATATCATTTACTCTAAAACCATAGGAGTGCTTTAAAGAGGTCAGAGGTGATTGAGCCAACATGTTATAATATTGTACAGTACGTCAAATGATGCCAACATCAACTCATAATCGTATATATAGACTTGTAAATTATGTAAATGTTACTCTCAAAGTCTGGCACATTTTTATTGAAAAATTCTTTTTATTTACAGGTCCATAACCCGTGCCTACTACAGAAATTCTGTTGGAGGGCTCCTGCTATTTGACATCACTAATCGTCGCTCTTTCCAGAATGTTCATGAATGGTTAGAAGAAGCGAAGGCCCACGTTCAACCTTATCAGATCGTGTTTGTTCTGGTGGGACATAAATGTGATCTAGACACGCAACGTCAAGTGACAAGACACGAGGCAGAGAAACTAGCCACTGCCTATGGAATGAGATACATCGAGACCTCAGCCCGAGATGCCATTAATGTAGAGAAAGCCTTCACTGACCTGACTCGTGACATATATGAGCTTGTTAGAAAGGGGGAGATAAATATTCAAGAAGGATGGGAGGGGGTAAAAAGTGGATTTGTTCCAAATGTAGTGCATTCTTCTGAAGAGGTAATTAAGTCCGACAGGCGGTGCTTTTGCTAAGCGGTACAGTTACTAATATGTAGGCCGCCATTACAGACTCTACTAATATAACATCATCCTAATGAATCTGACAGGTAAAGGTAACCTTGACTTTGCACTGGAAGGTGTGGAGGTAGGTTGAACAGAAGAAAAAATTGCTTGTAAAAAACATTTCTAGACAATGAGCGTTCTTTCCATCTCTGGCAAGGGCCAAGTGTGTATGTCTATGTTTAGGAGTTGGGATTCATAAGTCAATGATACCAAGAGTTCAGATACATCCTAATTCATTTGATAAATTCTGTGTAGTTTAATGTTGGTAGTTATATGCAGTGAATTAATACCACAGTGTATTGGTCATGATATATAGTTATAGGAAACGCAACCCTTTTGTTTACTGTACTTTGAAAAACAAAAATGACGCACCAATGAATACTCTGTAGCTTTTTACTTTAAATTCAGTAATTTCTGTGGCAATTAATAATGCAGTGGCCTAATAGAAAAACTGTTGTCATTACACGGTGGAATCTATGAAGTTTTTGGTTTGACCTATAAAATGGCAGTTCCAGCTCTGTGGTACCAACAGGCACACTGACGGTGGTTGCTTTATGATGCCTCTGGCTTAAATTTATGAAACCTTTGCAGGATAGAGAAAAATTGTAGATGGCACTATACTTTTTTTTTTTTTAACATCGTGATGAATTCTTTAAGTAATATGTAAGAATCCCACTGCCTTTACTTTCCAGTTTTCCCAATTCCAAGAAATGTGATCTCAGAGTTCACCTACAGTTCAGTCGGACATGGTGACACCTCCAATCCATTGCTATGCTCAGGGTAGGTCACAAAAAATCCAAAACTATGGACCCTGCCTTTCCTCTGTATTGGGTCACGCAGTGCTGCATGTACAGTAAGTGGTGCAGTGTTCTTGACCCCCTTTAAGAGAGACCTGTGAAGATCCTGAACTTACTATTCCACTTTATGATAGACGTAAGCCCATGACTGTTAGGCAGATCATACAATACACATGAAGTTGCAGAGCTCCTGAATCCGATATGATTCAAGCCAAGTGGGATAAAAACTGCACTGGATAATTGGACGCCTGCTTTTGTACGTCTCCTAAAGCAGAAGTCCGGGCTAAACAAATATCATCTAAATACAAGAGCCATGTGTATTCTTATGTGAATTCTGGAATCCTTTATGTATTTTTTCTATATCTGTGTGCAGTAATCCAGCTTGAAACAATTCATGTAATATGCCTCAGTACAGGAGATTCTTGTAAGAAAACCAGTTACTGCTGCTCTCTCCTTGTGCAGGGTGATGGGTCTTGTAATTATTTGTAGGTAGCCTGTAGTGGGTTGACCTACCGAGTCCGTCCCATAGCTCTGCTCTTTGCAAAAACTACTATGTGATGTCACAGTTACATTTACAAGTTAATATCTGAGACATTTATTGCACACATTTGTGGCTATTGAAGAATATATTTGAATTAAAGTTTTTCTGCCCGGAGTTCAGCTTTAAGTAAACCATTGTTACTCACTCACCACCACCACCACCGCAAAAAAATAAAATAAGGGGCAGGAGTTCAAGGGGACTGTTAGAGGCAAATACTCTTCTGTACTACTTCAAGAAGTGGTTGGAGATCATCTGCATGTTTTCCTTTTTTCACTGGAAAGCCCCTTTATTATTTGCAACTCAAAAATGATATAATATACTGTATCAATTGCTGATCTAATTTAATTTTTAGTTATTTATTTTTTCTATTGTCAGACTAAAAGTATCATCTTGACCAAATATAATTGTTTTGCACTAATCAACAAAAGAAACACATAACTTAAATAAGCAATAGGTCAATGAAAACTCCCTTTTCTTTCTGTGGTAGTACAACCTTGATGCAGATTTGTACCTAGCAGGGATTAGTAAAGCAAGTTATCACTTTATACCAGGTTTATTAGCTTCAAACTGATGATTTTGCTTTGATTTGAAATGCGTATCTATAATAAATATTAATTTAACTTAAAGTACCTGTAGATATTTGATTCTACGTTGTCCCAAACCCGAACCTTGACAGGTTTGAGAAATAGACTTTGTAGATGTCTTAGATGTCACCGTTGTAAAAGTAAAGGGGGGGGGGGGGAATTGTGTCTGCTAAGCTGGAAATTTTTGGATGATGGTTTACTCTCCTCCTTTAAGCTCAGTGACAAATGTGGCACTAGGTTTTGGTGTTTCACTGATACATTTGGAATATTAGAATGTATGGAGAATTAGGGAAATACAATAAAAAATAAAGATAACGTTGTTTATTTTATGACCGCCATAGGACATACAGTATACAACCAACTTAAAGTGACCATTTTCTTTGCCCGTGCATTGTAAAAGGTGTCACTTAACTTTTCCCCACCCCTCCCTTTTCTTCATGTCCCTGCTGCTGCTTCATACAGAAGCAGTGTCCTGGTATGGATAAGCCTCCTCTCCCATGTGATAGTACAGGTGCCTCGTGATTGACCCAGCGTTGTTGCACAGGGAAGGAGTATATCCTTGTGCACTTTGACAAGTCAATATGGAGTTTCAACAGGGCTTTCTTCCCACATTCTCGGCAGGTATACAGGAGCCAGGATCGGTGGGACTATTCTGTGATGGAGGAGGGAGAGTTAAGTGGCCCCGTTACGTTTCACTGCATGATACTGGGCCACTTTCTCCAGGCAGTAGCTAGACAATAATGACCGAGTAACCCAAAACAGTGTAAGGGGTTTGTAGAATGAGTATTAATAAAAAAAAAAACACCTTGTTTAGATAATTGCTATAATGAATGCAGATGTCAGTGCTTATACTTTTTATATTCTGCCAGATCCCTCCTTATGACATTAAGTGGTCATTAATATGTCACTTTGTAGTAACACCTGTATTGACCATAGATATTATCTCTATAGTGCATTGTATGCACACACACATAATATGTCGGCAACATCCAGCCCATTGTTACCCCAGGTTCACATATCCGCGTTCCTGCGGGTTGCGTTTTGCGCAGGCACGAGAGCCCATTCATTTGAATGGACTCCCGTGCCCCGGGACACGCAGGGAAGAAGTCCCTGCACATCTTCTGAAAACACAGCCCACACGGCAACCTCAGTTCCCAGTACGGTTGCGATTTCCAGTGCGGGCGGCGTGCCATTAGAATTAATGACACCCTCTCGCAGGTTCGCATTCTTCTGTGTGGGTGGTGCGGCTGCACGGATTTTTGTGCGGATCTGCCGTGGCACCACCTGCACATATGTGAACCTAGCCTTCCTTAAGGGCCTACAGGATAAATGAATTCAGTTTGGATACCCCAGAGCACCACAACCAGATGTGTACCAACAGCAGTTGAAATGCACAGAGAATGTCTTGCAGTCCTCCTTTAAGGTTGATGCTGTCCTTCATCTAGGTGGGGCTTGGTTCTCCAATTTTAGTCACCCACCTCCCCATTTTATCTTTAAACTGCTACCCTCTGAGTGTCTTTCTGTTTGGTTAGCCATTGAATAATACTATGTGGGATAGATTCTTATGACAAAAGATTTTGCATCACTGCTGGAAAAGATGGCAAACATGAAAAAAAAAAATAGTAAGAAAAGTGTCCCATTTGGTGGCTCCACTGAAGCCAGATTTAAGTATTAGATGATACTCAATATGAGTTGCCATGAAGATGGTATCCTTGAACCCATGGCAGCATTGAGTTTTAGGCTCACCAATGGCATGTTTTCAAAGGAGTCCCTAATCTCTCCCATAAGGACAAAGAGCTCTTGTGCTTCTTGCCCAGTTTAGGCTGCTCTAATAGGTGTGGCTGAGCTATGTATTTACAACTGACCGTTGCATTTGATGATGGGAATATTAAAAAATAAAAAGATGTCAATCAACTTTATTAGGTACATTTTAATTCAGACTCTTCTCTCATATTTTGACTTTTTATAAAATTACATTGTGAAATGAGCGCTATATACTGTATGCCAATGACATCCGGCGAGGGTTTTGTTTAGGCCTAGTTGATGACCTCTTTAAAATAGAGAGCATGTGGGAAGCATATTACCAACCTGACAATATTGCACAACAAGCCCATGTAAATACAGTGCAAACAAGTAAGACTTGCAACAATGCAATTTCTGTTTGTGATGGTAAAGAAGCAGGTGGAGACGTCGATTTGCTAGGTTGCAGTGATACAATTTTTGTATTGGGACAGAAAATTTATGGTTGTTCAACTGAAATCGTCACTCAAGGTGGCAAAGCAGTTTATACATATATAGCTGACAAATAGTTACTGTATTCTGAATGGTAAATGGTTGAATCCAATTTGTCTGTCCCATCTAAATGTACTGGAACAAAATGGGACTTTTTAAGAACTGACTTCTATGTTTATAATAAAAAAAAAAAAACAAGACTAGATAAAATTGTATTAATTAACAAGCCAAGCATATATTCTTCAATAGGTAACACGGTAAAATCTGCATGTTGGTTTTGCATTCCTCAGAATCTCCAGAATATAAAAATGTACACTTCCTTGCTTTCTGTTTTGCACTGTAAATGTGAACATATGCTGTCTAGCTGTATGTGAATGACAAAACCATGCTTGTATCTAGAACTGTTAATATGTGAACTGATAAAACTTGTAACAGACCTCTCTGTTTCTTTTGTACTGACCAAACGTAAGCTACTGAATTCATATTACATCAAAGCTCCCCATTGTAGATGATCTTGTACACTCTTTACCATTTTATACATGTTCCACCTGTAATAAAACACTACATAAACAAGAATGCTTAGTCAATCAAATAAACAGCAAATGCCATAACAGACAGAATTCAATCCGAATCTATCTTTCTCTGAGCTGACTTCAGTTCGAAAATCCAAGTAGTTGTCTAGGAATTATTGCAGTCCTTTGCATTGCTTTACTAAATTCTGAATCTTGATATATGTTTTATAACCTGACCAACTTAAAGGGCACATCCAATGAAACAGCGCACACCTCTTTTCTCTTATGTCTTGTGTTGGCACAT